TAAGCTGTTGTTTCAAAAATAGACATCTATGTGATCATAAGCAAGATAAAAGAAAATACTTATTTTTTAAGAATAAGAGTAAGAAAACAAGAAAATTATAACAGGACAAATAAACATCAAAATGTCAAAGTCAATTCAACCTAGAATGATTGTTTAGATCAGAACGTAGCCCTTCAACTCAATCAACACAAGAAAGCAGTCTGCAAGCTCAGAGAATTAGTGAAAGCAGCCTACAGCTGTAAACACCACTAAGAATGACCTTAGGATGAGATAACAAATTTCAACTGTTAATATCTACTGTTTCTTTAGGTTTACCTGAATTAAGAATAGTCCAAATTACTCACAAAGGAGAAAATATTTAGAGAACTTAAGTAGAAATAGTTAAAGGAATAGTACACCCAAAACATGATTAGCCTTCATTTTCTACTCACCCCCATGCTGAACAACACTCTGGAGTACTTTTTTGATATCTCAAATGCATCTGGAGATCTGGGAGGCTTCTTGCTGTCTGCTGACATTCAAATAATGGAGGTCTATGGCGCCCGAGGCAGAAAGGTCCATAAAAGTCCACAAAAAACGTGTCAATATTCCTCCATACTGCTCGTCCAATGTATTCCAAGTGTCCTGAGTGGGTAGCATCCATAATTTACTCGAAACGAAGTCATTTAGAATGTTTTTAGAGCATAAACAGTAGTGTATAGGATTTCCTAAAAGCGCGTTCACGAGTCTACGGAAACCGCGGCAGACCAAACCAGATGAAAGTGCGCATTCAGCGTCTGCTCTGCCGATAGTGCAAGCGTAGAAGAGGAAATGTGCCGTTTACCTGTGCAAAGAAAGAAACAACGAAAGAAAAATGTCTGAGGACTTCAGTGTTGAGGAAGAGCATGAGTTCTTTGCCGAGCTGAATGCGCACTTTCATCTGGTTTGGTCTGCCGCGGTTTCCGTAGACTCGTGAACGCGCTTTTAGGAAATCCTATACACTACTGTTTATGCTCTAAAACATTCTAAATAACTTCGTTTCGAGTAAATTCTGGACGCTACCCACTCAGGACACTTGGAATACATTGGACGAGCAGTATGGAGGAATATTGACACGTTTTTTGTGGACTTTTATGGACCTTTCTGCCTCGGGCGCCATAGACCTCCATTATTTGAATGTCAGCAGACAGCAAGAAGCCTCCCAGATCTCCAGATGCATTTGAGATATCAAAAAAGTACTCCAGAGTGTTGTTCAGCATGGGGGTGAGTAGAAAATGAAGGCTAATCATGTTTTGGGTGTACTATTCCTTTAAGTAAAAAGTATGACACAACAAACCTAATCCTTGAAGTACATCTTTTGTCTTTAAATTGTTACTCAATGAAATGTAAGTAATCACTACCCCCATCTAGATTTACCATGTTTTATTAATGGAATGGCAGTTCTGCAAAGAGAATAAAAAAAAAAACCTAAGGTGAGATTTTTTACGCCGGCGCATGCGCATCAAACAAATTAGAATGCTTGGACCCAATTCGGGCCAGTTCATCCTTTAACGTCTCATCAAGAGCCTGAAAAAACACAGCCGAGCCTCCCTGATGGCGGCGACCGCAGGCGAGATTCGGAACGTCGGTGTTTGGGGCTCTGCGGGAGGATAAGAGGAAACTGATTAAAAAATCCTGCTGTTTATTTATCCTGATATGGACTGGGTGATATGTTAGGGACAAAAGGACGCCACTTCACTTTATGTAAAAGAAAATGATCAACCTACAGAGGGCTGAATTCCCAAAACACCCCAAAAATCACAGTGAAAAAATGATGTGGCAGGCTAGTCCATTTTGGTGAAATTTCATTGCAGCAACTCAAAATGGTATTCAGTAATTTGTATGGCCCCCTCGTGCGTGTATGCATGCCTGACAATGTTGGCGCACACTCCTAATGAGACGACGGATGGCGTCCTGGGGTACCTCCTCCGCGATCTGGACCAGGGCATCACTGAGCTCCTGGACAGTCTGAGCTGCAACCTGGCGGCGTGGGACGGATTGACACATAATGTCACAGAGGTGTTCTATTGGATTTAGGTCAGGCGAGCGTTGGGGCCAATCAATGGTATCAATTCCTTCATCCTCCAGGAACTGCCTGCATACTCTCGCCACATGAGGCCGGGCATCGTTGTATTGTTTTGCACCAGCAGGGAACCCAGGATCCACTGCACAAGCATAGGGTCTGACAGTGGGTGCAAGGATTTCATCCCGATACCTAATGGCAGTCAGGGTGCCGTTGTCTAGCCTGCATAGGTCTGTGCGTCCCTCCATGGATATGCCTCCCCAGACCATCACTGACCCCCCACCAAACCAGTCAAGCTGAACAATGTTACAGGCAGCATAACGTTCTCCACGGCTTCTCCAGACCCTTTCACGTTTGTCACATGTGCTCAGGGTGAAACTGCTCTCCTCTGTGAAAAGCACAGGGCGCCAGTGGCCGACTTGCCAATTCCGGTGTTCTGTGGCTAATGCCAATCGAGCTCCACGGTGCCGGGCAGTGAGCACAGGGCCCACTAGAGGACGCCGGGCCCTCAGGCCACCCTCGTGAAGTCTGTTTCTGATTGTTTGGTCAGAGACATTCACACCAGTGGCCTGCTGGAGGTCATTTTGTAGGCCTCTGGCAGTGCTCCTCCTGCTCCTCCTTGCACAAAGGAGCAGATAGCGGTCCTGCTGATGGGTTGTAGACCTTCTACGGCCCTGTCCAGCTCTCCTGGAGTAACTGCCCGTCTTCTGGAATCTCCTCCATGCTCTTAAGATTGTGCTGGGAGACACAGCAAACCTTCTGGCAATGGCACGTATTGATTTGCCATCTTGGAGGAGTTGGACTGCCTGTGCAACCTCTGTAGGGTCCAGGTAGCGCCTCATGCTAACAGTAGTGACAGTGACCCTAGCCAAATGCTAAACTGGTGAAAAAGAGTCAGAAAAGATGAGGAGGGGGGAAAATGTCAGTGGCCTCCACCTGTAAAACCATTCCTGTTATGATGGTCGTCTCGTTGTTGCCCCTCTAGTTCACCTGTTGTTAATTTCATTAACGCCACAGCAGCTGAAACTGATTAACACCCCCCTCTGCTACTTACCTGACCAAATCAATATTCCAGAAGTTTAATTAACTTGATGCTATACTCTGATTACAAAGTGATCCTTTTTAATAGTGTAGTTAATGTTACTAAATAAATAGAAATGAAGATGAAATATATGTTGCAACAGCAGTTATAACTACATAATAGCATACACTGTGACTAGCACTGAGGTGATGCAAAAACTCTATGGCGGCTGTTTGCCTACACTGCAAAAATGTTCTGAAAATGAGTAAAAATTTATTAAAATAAGAGTATTTACTCTTAATATAACCATATAACCAATATGAGCATTTCAACCCTTAAAATAATATAATTACATATTATACACTTCAAATATGAGACTGCCGTTGTTTATTTTTTATTTTAAATGTACATTTTCTTGTTCCAATGGCAAAGTGTCTCATTTACCTGCTCAATTCAAGAAAAAATGCTCTTATTTTAAGTAAAATTGACTTACTTACATTTACATTTTTGCAGTGCATGATCTGCTTATCTGTTCTCCATTTTTCATTTGGATGAAATAATAGCTGCATGAATCATGACAGCAGACAAGATAGAGGAGAGCAGGAGGCGGGGTTACCAATCTACTCGCTCTGGAGAGCAGAGTTCGCTGCTTTTAGATGTTGTCTCCAAAGTCTCCAGTAGCAGAAAAAAGTCTCTAGATTTGGCGCTAGGAGCTTTTTAGAAATCAAAGTGCTAGAGGGGTCTGAAAAGTGGCTAAATATAGCGACTAAAGCGCTAAGTTGGCAACACTGCTCTTTGCATGGTTTGTTTTCAAATGGTTTGCTTCACAGTTTCTGCTGTGCTAAAAAAAAACATCTTTATGAACGATAAAACTGTTTGTTCAAACAATGCATATCATCTCACAGAATCATCCTTCACGTGGGGAATCTTAGGTGCAGCAGCGACGGCGTAAAAGCAAGTCCAAACCTGCAAAAACAGGCATACCGCTGACTTCTGTCTTCTACCTATAGCTTCTGCACTGAAATCTGCTCCAACCGTCGCTGCATACATCCCCTGAATTATTGAAAGATTTAAATAGAAAACATGAGGAATCAAATCTGCACCGACAGGTTTCTGATAGATCTTTGAGTGCTTGATGACCTCAGAGGCTTCGCTGTTAACCTTCTCTGATAAGAGTCGCCCAAACTCCTTCATAATGATGATCATTAAAAAAAGGTTGAGGCTGAGCAGCAACACGCTGCAAAAACCATCTAGATTTAAGTCTTAAAAATTCTTAAATTAGGTGTATTTACCCTTCATTTTAGCTGATAAATACAATTATTTGCCAATGGAATTAGTATTTTTACGCCTAAAAAAGATAATTAGATAATATGCACTTGAAATAAGATAAAGCTGTTTTTTTTTCTAATTTTAAATGTAAATGGTCTTGTTCCATTTGCAAAGTGTGTCGCTTATCTCCTCAATTCAGGATAAAATGCACTTAATTTAATAAAAAATGACTCATTTAGATTTCCATTTTTTGCAGTGTGGCTTGTCTACAGTGAAAAGAAGGACTGGGTTATTTACTTTGGCCTTTTTGGAAACACAGGAAGGAGCAATCAGCTAAGTGAGCTTAGTGCTTGGAAAAAATCTTTCATTCCTTTAGAGACAGCATGAAAAGTCAGCTGAGTACAAAACATAGAGAGGAAAACAAGAAGAAAAGGGACAAGAAGAGAGGGACACAACCTAGAACAGAGAATGGATGTCTATTCTATTAACATTTCTCTATCTGGATAACGGGTCTGTTTATGTGTTGTCTTCTCCATTCAGAGGGCCCCCTGCCGGTCTTTGGCTAAGGCTCCACATGTCTGAAATCCGATCCTGCCTTCATATTTCCAGTTTTGTCTCCTACATCTTTCTTCCAGCTGGATCTCATGTTTTTTGTTTTTTTTCTTCCAGACTCCACATTTTCCATCCAGATTTATAACGATACGAATATTAGTGGCAGGCAGCCAGTCATGATCAATGTAGCGGATGATGGCAAGAAGTTGACAGTAACCTGCCAGGAGAACAAGGAGGTCTCTGCAGAGGAGATGGTGAATAAAAGCTGCTTCCTGATAATCATGGTGCACCTTGTGATGCATACGTGGCCTAACCAGTTTTCCCACTTCTCGTCTCTCCCAGGATCCCAACGGTCTGAATATGATTAATGGAGCAGGACACAAAGCCATATTCAGCTGGGAACAGTGCAATCCTGGGAAATACATGTTTGAGTCCACCTTGTTCCCGGGTTTTTTCCTGGCCCTGGAGGAAGCGGACGCCTGCCTGCATAAACTGGTTCTGCGTCGAGTAGCCAGGGACGAAGTGGACGAATCAGCCATGTTTATGTTGACTACTTGCAGCTCGTAAAGCTTTGTGTTTGTAAATGACTTCACCCACATTTGAAGGCCGCTGCTTCTATCTCAGAGCCGCTGTTCTTTGTAGCAAAGGTTTAAAGGTGTGGCAGAAAATCTTTTTTCAGCCTCCTGTTTTAAGCTTTGCAAAGAGAGAACAGCTCATCATGTGGCACCGTAATCAGCCCTGTTCTCATCTGAGCAAAGTTATCACATATGTTATGAATAAACCTTGAGATTTTATTTTTTTATTTACCTGTAACCTTTATTTTACCAGGAAGTCCCTTGAGATAAAATCTCTTTTTCAAGGGAGACCTGGAAGATGTTTTTTATGGGAATAAGGAATGTCTGGTCTGCAAACAACTTTAAGCAGGGGAATTAACTTTCATAGTGAGTAAAAAGCATAAATATAAAATCGAAATTTTCTGACCACAACGGTTAGTGATATGGGGGCGGTTTGGGATTCAGGCTTGGACCTTCATCCTCCTCTGGACATCCAACTGTCTTCTGTCTCACTGGACTAAAACATTTCATTTTAAAGCTCTTCTTTGATGCAACTGTTTTGTTTTTTAATTATAATTTGTCATCCTGAAGCGGAGGTCTCTTCCCGCTTTATTAGGGTTCCTTCTATATTATACTATCCATTTAACCAGTTTTTATATCATAACTAAAGAAATAACCGCCTGTTTTTCTACTACACAGTATATTAAATAAGTGTATCAATAAAAAAACAAAGCCAAGTGTGAGCAGCTTTTTTTTTTACTGTGTAAATATTTGCACAGATTAAAGGCGGAGCTCAGTTTTCTTTACTTCCTCCTGCATCAGCTGAAATCTCTGCATGCAGGGAGAGAACAGAGAAGAAGAAGAAGCTTTCTGCAGCATCAGGGAAATCCTCCGGTTATCTGGTAGATTTCTGACGGATGCTAAATTCAGCAGCAGCACAGCGGTTTGCAACCTTTAACTCAACAGGATGTGCGACTAAAAAAAAAAAACACAAGGTTTTAAATTGCTGTTAGACCTGATCAGTGGATGGAGACACTTAAATGACTTAGAAGCAAATGGAGGCTTTCAGCCCAATCAACAAACATCTAAACTCATTTCAAAATGATAGAATTTACAAAGAACGCGTTGAATTATTGTTTGTTTTTTTACAATCAGCCGGGATCAGATTCGTCCCAAAGCGTTGGTTCCTCCTGAGCTGGCCAGTCCAAAGTCCCTTTCATTTGCTCCAGAGCAGAGCCACGGCTTTGCAGATGCCCACGTCGTTATAGTTGAAGTAGCAGAGGCCTGCGAAGGTGACCGTGGACAGAAGGAAGAGGCCCGCGTTGGCCATCTTGATCTTCGTGTCCCCGTGGACGTAGTCTGTCAGCACCTGACCGATTCCCCTGCACAGGAAAAACACCGTCAGTGGAAAACGTTCCCGTCGTCTGCTTCCGACTTTCCCAGGAAAGCCCACATGAAGCTAGACGGCTCTAATGAGAGCGAGTCACTAACCTACAGAAGCATACTGAAAAAACAAAACATCTGAGATCATAATGATGAGATCTTGACTCATAATTACAAAATAAGATGACGTAACATTTCATTTTTAGGAGATCAGGAAGGACAGTCATGGTTGAGCTACGCTACATGAAACATGAACAATGATTTAATCGGCTTTTATTTCCTTTTACCGTATTTTCACGACTATAAGGGGCATATAAACTGTGACTCCATGCGTGCCCATCTCACAGCCGATGTGAAAAACATGGTGAAACAAATGAACGCTGTGCTCGCCATTATCTTCGGAACTTCAACCGCTCGACATCGGTGTGAACCGGCCATTCAAAGTAAGGCTGCGAGCGACGTGGGAGCGATGGATGACAGACGGAGACCACAGTTTCAGGATAAGAAGGCAGCGCCGGGCAGATTACGCCACCGTTTGCGGATGGATTGTAGATGCTTGGACTAACGTGTCTGCTGGCTCTGTTGTTCCAGCTTTCGCAAAAGCCGGCATTATTTCTGAGGAGCCGCACGACATGGAAAGTGACTGACAGCGAAGAAGTGGAAATTGCCATGTCTGATTTAGGCCCCGTCCACATGAAGTCAAAACGAACACGAAACGCTAATATTTTCCAGAACATTTGTCGTAAAGACGGAGACGTAAAATAAATGTGATCGTCCACACGAATGCATGAAAACGCTGCCTGTAAGTGGCGCTGTGGTGCCAAAGCAAAAATAGGCGACGAAATGTTGGGCATGCGCAGTAATATTTATACATGGTTGCCCTGCGGGTCCATTTTCGTGGTTCAGTCAAATTCAGGTGCTGAACTATGTCGTCCATATTGCTCTGTTCTTCCTGGAGATATTCCAGAAGAAGAAGATTCTGTTGTAAGCCCGACAGCAGGGTGAGTAGCATGAGCAGCAACCATTCAACACAGTACGGCGCCATTGTTGTTGTGATACTGTGTCGCGCATGCGTGTTTAGAGGCGACGCTATGACGCATGCGTGTAAAAAAAAAAAAATTCGGTAAGAGCTTAAAGATGGAAACGCGAAAACGGCGTTTCAGAATCTTCCCACTCTGAAGGCTTAATAAAAAAAGATCGTTTACAGACCCCCGAAACGCCGGCTTCGTGTGGATGAGAGGCTGGTTTGGTGAAAAATTTGTGCGTTTAGGCCAGGGTTTGACTTCATGTGGACGGGGCCTCAGCGCAGCTGTTTAATTCAGAAACAGAGGATGATGACTTTGATGGGTTTGATTAATACTTTGTAATAAATACATGAATAAAGCACAATCATACTCAGTTTTGCTCCCGCTCTATTTTTAAATACGCAGTAGAGGTATTTAAACGTAGTAGAGGACATGTACCGGTATATAAAACCCGCACCCTATAGTCCGGTGCGCCTTATGTGTGTGTTAAATACAGTAATGGCACACATAAATGAGACTGCGCCTTTTAGTACGGTGCGCCTTATGGTCGTGAAAATATGGTAGTTTTGCGACGCTGGGAGTTTCCTCAATGTGGATGGAATAGTTTTATTTTGTCAGCAATGCGCAGAAAGTCCAAAAAGTCCACTCTACTCTGACCTGCTGGAGTAATTAAACCAGAACGGGACGCTTTATGGTTAGAAATTAATGCATCTGATATTCATTCCAGCTGACTTGGTGGTGTTTCACTGTCTGCCGGTACCTTCTCAATAATCCTAGATCCTCAGCTGAGGCTTCAGGATCGTTTAAAACTCCCAGGTCAACTTCATGCAGCAGGTCGATTCATAGAAAAACTACGACCAAACGGAATCTGTATTAATGGAGCCGTTGAGGAATTTTCACGTATGGTCACATGGCTGCATGTTTACTCCACCAGTAGTAACTCAGGGTTATAGCTGAGTACTTTATTGATGAAGTGGAAACAGGAGCGGAGCTCCAACGCGCATCAGGTCAGACCTCGGTACAGAGAACTGTTCAGTGTTAAGAAGTAATCATGAAGACCAGTTTTCTCAGAGATGCTTTGTTGCTGGCTTAAAGGAATAGTACACCCAAAACATGATTAGCCTTCATTTTCTACTCACCCCCATGCTGAACAACACTCTGGAGTACTTTTTTGATATCTCAAATGCATCTGGAGATCTGGGAGGCTTCTTGCTGTCTGCTGACATTCAAATAATGGAGGTCTATGGCGCCCGAGGCAGAAAGGTCCATAAAAGTCCACAAAAAACGTGTCAATATTCCTCCATACTGCTCGTCCAATGTATTCCAAGTGTCCTGAGTGGGTAGCATCCAGAATTTACTTGAAACAAAGTCATTTAGAATGTTTTTAGAGCATAAACAGTAGTGTATAGGATTTCCTAAAAGCGCGTTCACGAGTCTACGGAAACCGCGGCAGACCAAACCAGATGAAAGTGCGCATTCAGCGTCTGCTCTGCTGATAATGCAAGCGTAGAAGAAGAAATGTGCTGTTTACCTGTGCAAAGAAAGAAACAACGAAAGAAAAATGTCTGAGGACTTCAGTGTTGAGGAAGAGCATGAGTTCTTTGCCGAGCTGAATGCGCACTTTCATCTGGTTTGGTCTGCCGCGGTTTCCGTAGCGTTCAGTGAGAAAATGAAGGCTAATCATGTTTTGGGTGTACTATTCCTTTAAGTAATCATAACTAAATATATAGAAAAGATCTGGTAACTATGAGATATTTTCTCATAATTAAGAGATATTTATTTTCCGGTTTTCTACTACTGTTCTCGGCGGCTGGAAGGTGTTTTTCATACCTAATCCAAACTGCAGGCAGCAGGATAATAAAAGCCAACATATTCTGCCGGCAGGTTTCTACATTTGAAGTTAATTTAGTTTTAGTTTCAGAGGAGTGATCATAGCGCCCTGCATCAGCAGTGTTGCGTCTCTCTTCCTGCCAGCTCCCAGATCAGCTTCTCTGATTGGTTGATGCGGCGCATCCAGCAGCTAAAGTTCAGTTTTTCCATCTCCAGCAGCTGCTGCTTCTGAAGCTCATGATGCGCTGCAAGACCTTTTGCTGCACCTCAACCATTGACTTCACCTGTAAACCAGCTGCAGTCGTGTTTTTGGACAGTGGGAGGAAGCTGGAGTACCTGCTGGGGAATCCAACCCAGAACCTTCCTGCTGCATTCCTCTAAAATCCTATCAGACTCTTTATTTTAAACCTCATTCTAAGTGACGTCACACGGATCCAGAGGAACCCTACGTGTTTACGTTTGTATCCATGGTGATGCTGAAGGTTTAATGGAAGCTCTAGATGCTCCGACACATTGAAAGCCGTCTTCCTGCTTGGAATCAAAGTCCAGTGGATTGTTGAACTTTTTTGCTCATCTTACCAATGTCCATGCAGGGTGAAAGCAGCAGCCAGCGAGTAGTCGACCACGGGCCCCGGGCTGAAGTAAGCTGCAGGAGCCAAGGCCAGCAGGGCGATGCTCAGCACGCGCTCTGCTGTCCAGTGGAGCGACGCCGCTTTGGAGTCGGAGCCCGCTGCAGGAGAAACAGAAAGACGAGCATCGCTCAGCTGTGCTGGAAGCAGAAACTGACTCAGGTTCTGGAATAACTACCTCTGAAGAACAAAGAGACATAAAGAGAGCTTTTCTGTTTTAACAAAGTTAAATCAGGTGGAACCTTTAACCTGCCGTTCTTCAGGAGGTACGAACTCTTCCTTCTCCCTTTGGGAAAAACGACTCAGTTACACTCCAAAAAAAATAAAATAAAACCTAAGTCCATAAAAACAGGTTAAATAGAAGATTTTGGTTTTTAGAAGATAAATATTAGAACCTGAACTCAGCAGGACATAAAAGCAATGAGAATAGAATTAGTCTGTGTCCGTTAGCGTGTGCAGCAGCCGTCTCAGTGACCTCACCGCTCTGCAAAGTCACAACTCGTATCGCACTGCATAATTCTGCGTTCGCCGCTATGCAGACGATAGCCGAGTTTTATCAGTTCCTGCAGCTAATGACCGTTTTGCTGATTGATCCTTTTCTGGATTAATAACCAGATGATCAAAGGTTCCTTTAAAGAAGATTTACACAGAATTAAACAAAGCAAAGCTAAAACTGGCCTTTAGGACTTCTGGATAGAGCTTGTTTGTGAAAAAAAAAAAGGTTTTTTCATCTGGAATTCCAACCGTTTTTATATATTTTTGGTATAATTACCGCTATGAGTGGGTTCTTCTTTCAGCTAGCGTTGATCCTGGATGTCCTGGAGGTTGTAGAGGTTTTCCTGCTCCAGTACAGCTAAGTTTTCATTGATTGCTGATTAACAGGCTTTTGTTAAACTGTGATCGTCTGAATGAGCTGTGCTGAAGCAGGGAGACCTCCAACCCTAAAATCCCACATCCTCCGCAAACACCCCGCTCCAGACGGCCTGCGCAAAGCAAAGCCTACAGCCTCCACCGTTCCTCCCGTATTGTTCTGCTCCGACTTCCTTAAAGCTCGAGGAGAGCATGCACTATATCATTAATTTATCTCATATGATATATGAAATTATATATATCTAATTATATATTATATATACACTACCATTCAAAAGTTTGGGGTCACCCAAACAATTTTGTGTTTTCCTGAAAAGTCACACCTACTCACCACTAAACGTTGTGAAATGCATAGAAAATAGAGTCAAGACATTGACAAGGTTAGAAATAATGATTTGTATTTGAAATAAGATTTTTTTTTTTTATATCAAACTTTGCTTTCGTCAAAGAATCCTCCATTTGCAGCAATTCCAGCATTGCAGACCTTTGGCATTCTAGCTGTTCATTTGTTGAGGTAATCTGGAGAAATTGCCCCCCACGCTTCCAGAAGCAGCTCCCACAAGTTGGATTGGTTGGATGGGCACTTCCTGCGTTCCATACGGTCAAGCTGCTCCCACAGCAGCTCCATGGGGTTCAGATCTGGTGACTGCGCTGGCCACTCCATTACCCATAGAATACCAGCTGCCTGCTTCTGCTCTAAATAGTTCTGCACAATTTGGAGGTGTGTTTAGGGTCATTGTCCTGTTGTAGGATGGAATTGGCTCCAATCAAGCGCTGTCCACTGGGTATGGCATGGCGTTGCAAAATGTAGTGATAGCCTTCCTTATTCAGAATCCCTTTTACCCTGTACAAATCTCCCACCTTACCAACACCAAAGCAACCCCAGACCATCACATTACCTCCACCATGCTTAACAGATGGCGTCAGGCATCCTTCCAGCATCTTTTCATTTGTTCTGCGTCTCACAAACATTCTTTGTTGTGATCCAAACACCTCAAACTTGGATTCATCCGTCCACAACACTTTTTTCCAGTCTTCCTCTGTCCAATGTCTGTGTTCCTTTGCCCATCTTAATATTTTTCTGTTATTGGCCAGTCTCAGATATGGCTTTTTCTTTGCCCCTCTGCCCTGAAGCCCAGAATCCTGCAGCCGCCTCTTCACTGTAGATGTTGACACTGGTGTTTTGCGGGTTCTATTTAATGAAGATGCCAGCTGGGGACCTGTGAGGCGTCTGTTTTTCAAACTAGAGACTCTAATGTACTTATCTTCTTGCTCAGTTGTGCAACGCGGCCTCCAACTTCTTTTTCTACTCTGGTTAGAGCCTGTTTGTGCTGTCCTCTGAAGGGAGTAGTACACACTGTTGTAGGAAATCTTCAGTTTCTTATCAATTTCTCACATGGAATAGCCTTCATTTCTAAGAACAAGAATAGACTGTGGAGTTTCAGATGAAAGTTCTCTTTTTCTGGCCATTTTAAGCGTTTAATTGACCCCACAAATGTGATGCTCCAGAAACTCAATCTGCTCAAAGGAAGGTCAGTTTTGTAGCTTCTGTAACGAGCTAAACTGCTTTCAGATGTGTGAACATGATTGCTCAAGGGTTTTCTAATCATCAATTAGCCTTCTGAGCCAATGAGCAAACACATTGTACCATTAGAACACTGGAGGTGCTGGAAATGGGCCTCTATACACCTATGTAGATATTGCTCCAAAAACCAGACATTTGCAGCTAGAATAGTCATTTACCACATTAGCAATCTATAGAGTGTATTTCTTTAAAGTTAAGACTAGTTCAAAGTTGTCTTCATTAAAAAATAAGGCCATTTCAATGTGACCCAAACTTTTGAATGATAGTGTATATATTATATATATTGAAAAAATCCTCGTCAGCATCCAACATGTTCAGTTTCTGCCAAAGTTTGTTTTGAAGATGTCGGAGGCGCTCTTGGAAGTTTTGACGGGATATGAAGAAACCTTTAAGCCTCTCGGTATAAAATAAACATTTTGATTGAGATGAAAAATCTGCTTCCTGGGAAGTTGAAGTAAAACAGTTTGCATCCAATAATTTAATTGAATTGACTGAGTGGAATATGTGGAACCTGGGGGTAAATCCTGCAGCACAGCAGCCCTCCAGGACCGACGATGGACATACCTGAGCTAAAGGAACGCTTTAGTCTCTAGACTCAAGTTAATGATTATTCAGTTAGTAAAGTAGTTAAAGATTAATTCAGTAATCAGAAGTACGGCTGTACTCCTCCAAAACAACATGGTAAGAGGTGTGGGGTGAAAACAGGAACCCACAACCCATATAACTTCCGCTGCACTTTAAAGGTGAAGCGGAAACGTTCATTTACATCGTAAACTAACCGCCAACCACACACACACACACACATCAGATCACTTCCATCAAGTGTTTGCTAATGTGTCAGGTTGGCGTCCTGGTAAGCGGGCGGGCGGACAGAGCTGCAGCACTGACCGTAGAGCGGCTGCGATGAATGGATCCTGGCCGTCAGCGCGTGGGGCTGCTGGCGCTCCTGGTGAAGGACGGCGGCTGGCCTGGTATGCAGGACGCTTTGGTAGAACAGAGCTGAGGACAGAAACCACAGAGACTCCAGCTTTACAGGCAGGCTGGACTGTTTTCTTACTGAAAACTAAACTTTAGAAACATCTGAGAAACAAATGACAAACAGTCGCTATAGCAACAAGAATGAAACCCATTTAAAGTATTAAAAGGCTTCCGCTGCTCCACACTGGCGGCTAAACTGATTAAATTTAGATCATTGTGGTTTATTGAGGCAGTTCTGACACACAAACTAAGACCAAACCATGACACTTCCATCACCGTGCCCTACAGCTGGGATATCAGACGGGTTTAAAGGGCACATTTAAAAACGTCAGAAGTTGTTTTGATAATAATATCTGCAACAGTCATTCCAAAAAAGTTAAAAATCAATCCACTGGACTTGGTGTCTAAGGCTACGTTCACACTGCAGCCTGAAGTGACCCAATTCCGATTTTTTTGCCCATATGTGACCTGTATCTGATCTTTTTATGACAGTCTGAACGACACAGATCGGATTTTTTCAAATGCGACCTGTGTCTGTACGGCCAGGTCGCATTCATCCGACCTACACGTCATTGATACTTGACAAATGTTACTAAACGTTACTAATCTGCGTCCTACTAAGCGGAGGCGGGGAAAAACTAACAACCATGGCGGAAGATAACACAGAGAGCAGTCAATGGAGAGAAAGTGAGGTTGCTGACTTAATTCATATTTGCAAAGATAGCTCGATTCAGACCAAACTCGAAGGGTCTTACCGGAACTGGGGGAGGGTCTTTCTTTTTGATCTTCTTAAAAAGATTTCGTTCGTAATGTGCCTGCTCCTGTTGGAGAAGAACTTAAAGAACGCAATATACGCTGCGGTATTACGAGTCATGTTTACTTCCGCAAACACTGAGGACGCTTGCTACATGTGACGTCATCGCGTCCTCGAGTGCGCATGCGGGACACTTCGGTTGAACGCTTTCAGTTCACACAGCAGATCACATACAAGTCGCATATACTTGGAAGTGTGAACGGACACGCAAAAAAATCAGATTTCACGAAAAAATCGGAATTGAGCATTAAGGCCTGCAGTGTGAACGTAGCCTAAGTTTAAAGACGTTTCTCTTCCATCCAGGAAGATTTTTCGATCCAAAATGTCAGAAATAGCGTTTAGTTCCAGGTTTTATCCAGCAGCCCAACAAAGCCTGGTTTTAGTTTAGAAAACATGCAAATAGAAACGGATGAACGGGTCCCCCCCTTTGGAATGGGGGTCGTTTGGCTTCTTTTGTTAGCCTGCAATGCCCCATACCTGTCTATGTCTCTGAAAGGGGGGTCGTTAAAGGGAGGGGGTGGACTCAGATTTCTGCTTTCAAAAACCTACAATGCAGCCATATTCCTGCTATCATCGCAGCCCAACCCCTTTACAGGGCAACAGAAGACCCCGCCTCTTCAGCCAGGCCAACAATTCCCCTTAACGACCCCCCTTTCAGAGACATAGACAGTTTAATTTATTTTTGAGTTATTTTTTTACCCACAGGCAATCGCTGCAAGCTGGAAATCCAGCCTGGGGCCAGAATACTTTAATCCCTGCATATTGCTGCAGATTTAAATTTCTAATTCAGTTGTAGTCCAAACCCCCCCCCCCCCCCAAAAAAAAACCCAGACTGGATGGTATGGAAACCTGTTTCCACCACTCACTTAAAAAAATAAATTAACTCCCTCTAATGAGATGCTATCTCATTATTTTGAGATATTATGTCATAATGAGATAGTATCCCATAACGGCCTTCCATAGAATGGGATGGACGCAACTTTAAAACAAAGTGAAATTATAAGATTCTGGATATTTGCTCATATCGGCTCCATCTTTACAGTAATGGAACAAAACTCTAAAAAGCTGCAGCTTCCCGCTCTGGATGGCCACGCAGGTCACGCGTGCGTGTCCAGTCAGTGCGTGACCGTGATTTTATGACGCAGGTTTTTACAAACCGCCATGAAGCTCATCCCGGGCTGAAGGTGTTTCTATCAGAGTTGACTAACAACCCGCTTTACTGCGTGTCGTGAACTTGACAGCAGACCCATCATCAGCCGTGGTTTTAGGCCGCCGCTGTTCGTCCCTCTTCCCCGCCGCCCTCCTCCTCTCACCCCGCCGCCCTGTTCGGGATTAAAAACACCCAGAAAGCCTGAAAGCAGAGAGCTGTACTCACGTTTTACTCCCCTACGACACACAGAACTCAACCTGACGATGGCCGCCATGATGACTAACCCACCAAGGTCACCACTGTTACCCGGATGTAAATGAGTAGTCAATCACAACGAAGATGGTGAAAAGCTGCGAAGATGTCTCACTCCGCCTTAAGAACACTTCACTTATCTTTCTTTGTCCTTTTCTGTTCCGTGTTAAGTTATATAATAATAATTACCCTCCAATATTGCCCAGTTTTACGGAAGAGGATTAGGGCCACTGAAAAAATAAAAAAGTTAACTGATTATAAAATTTTATTTCAGTTTAACATGGGAAAAATACGGAAGAGGATTAGGGCCACTGAAAAAAATAAGTAAACGGATTTTTTTAAATTTTATTTCAGTTTAGTATGGGAAAAAAGTCAGAATTCTGACTTTATTCTCTGAATTCTGACTGAATTCTGACAATTAAAAAAGTCAGATTTCTGAGATTAAAGTCAGAATTCTGAGATTAAAGTCAGAATTCTGAGATTAAAGTCAGAATTCTGACTTTTTTCCCATGTTAAACTGAAATAAAATTTAAAAATCAGTTAACTTTTTTTTTTTTTTCCAGTGGCCCTAATCCTCTTCCGTACAGTTTGTTGATTTCACAATGCAATTTGCTTGATGAAAAATGTAATAAATAACTCATTAACAGTTTTTTGAAAGCACAGAAATTTCATGATTATATTAGATTTAATTGTAAGACAGATATTCCCGTTAAATCAGATACAGTCGATAAGGCATTCTCAGAATTTGTTAAATGGCCTACTCTACCTAAAGTCAAAGAAACACATTTTAAAGTGATAAAAATTTTTATCCTGTGGCAGAAATTTTAAGAAAAAGATTTGGTTTTAAGGTGGATCAATGTTCCTTTTGTAATAATAATAGTGAAACCGTTGAACATATGTTTTACCTCTGTCCCGCTACACACCGCTTCTGGAAAGAGTTGAAAGATTAGTTTTCTTTAAAATTTAATGATGTCCCTCCCTTTTGCACTAAATGATGTCATTTTTTATATGGACCATCTTCCCCAGCCTGTTTCTGATACTATTAATATCCTCCTGCTGTTGGGTAAATATCAGATCCACTGAGAAAAATTGAGAAATTCTAAACCTTCTTTTCATTGGTTTATTAATGACTTTAAAACCTATTTTTCTTCTCTTAAAAAGATAAAAAAATGACAAACATGCCAAAAAATTGAGACTTGATTTCTCCAAACATCTGCTATTTTAAGTGCATTCACCTTTTTGTTTTTATTATTTCTATGGTTCTGTGTGATTTAAATGTTTGCTGAGATAAATCCCCTGTTAGTTGTTTTTCTTTTATTGTACTTGATCTTTATCTGTTCATGTTCATCTTTGCCATCCTCTCTGGGAGTATTTTTTTCATGTAAATGTTTTTGACTCAATAAAAAAAAAAATTCTGTTCCGTGCTTCTTGTTCGTTATGCTTAAATGTAAAAATATCTTCTTTGAATATAAACCCTTTAAAAGATAGACGTAATGATCTTTTTCTTGTTTTTATTTTTGTATATGTTTGAGCCGTTTCATAAACGGGGCCCCAGTGGCCTGTTTCAATAAGGAAGTTCAACCAGCTCTGAGTTAAAACTTGAACTCTGAGTTGACTTATCCTGAGATTGGAAACTCTGAGTTTTGGGTTTCAGAACAGCTGAAATGAGTTAGTTCAATCAACTCTAAATTGACTGACTCTGAGTTAAGCGCGTGCACCACAACTATAAAAAGCCATTATCAATGGAGCACAGATATTACGAGTCACCATGGCAACAGCGTCAGACAAAAAAAGGTGTGCATATTTCTCACCAGCAGAACTAGATGTGCTTATGCAAGCATATGCAGAATTTGAACATGTATTTAAAAAAAGAAGCAACACGGCTGCAGTGGCGAAGGAGAGAGAGTTAGCTTGGGTGAAAATAGCTGCTCGAGTCAATGCGTAAGTTTACATTTTAATTACTTTTATACAGTGTTGGGTGTAATGAATTAAGTTACTTAAGTCATATAAATACTGTAATTAAATTAAAGACTATAAAACAATAGTGGATTTAATATCAAATTTTAAAAGGTATATTTTGATTTGAACTTTCTCCCTCTAGTTACACACTTTGGTCAATTTAAGATTAATTCATGCAATTGAATATTGTTTATTTGAAAGCATTAGAAGTGCAGTTTCTTGTCTCTCCTTGTATTGTTCAAGTGGTTGAGGTTGATTTGGGATTTAGAAAGTAATTAATAAGTAAGTAAAACAAATTAGTAAGTAGACCAATACTTTCTAGAGACAGTAATTATTACATTAATCTAATTAGACTTGTTGAAGATAAAATTTGTAGTTAGTAATTAAGAACCATTTTAGAGTAACTTACCCAACTGTTATAATATCAGAGGTGAAACTGGAAGAACAGTATTTTATTAAACCTAATTTAGTTTTCATGGATAGGTGCAATCCTGCAGGCATCAAAAGAACATGGCAGCAGCTGAAAATGAAATATAAAAACATACTTCAAGCAGGTAAGCCTTGAGCACATCATGGGAGTAGAGTAGCTACCTGGCTTTACAAACAGGATCATCCATTAAAGGACATGCCATTTCATTCCCTTTGATGCGCTCTACGTGACTGAAATGTGTGCAATGAATACTGTATGTCCCCAAAGAATCAATGAGGTGTTTAAACACCACTTCCTCTTTAAAAAAGGGGAGGAGACCAAAATAAACTCTGGATTTTCTGAAGAAAACCTGCTCCCGACCAGGTTAGGTTCACAGAGTAAATTCCCATGGTAACTGACTCTGAGTATAAGTTATCTCTCTTTCAGAAACGGGATTGACTTACTCTGCTTTTTCAGGTTTAACTTACCTCCCTTTCTGAAACAGAAAACCCAGAGTTTCCCTCATTTCAGGGTTAACAAACTCAGAGTTTTCACTTAACCTCCTTTCTGAAACAGGCCCCTGGTCTAGCTCTTGCATTTAACAATTATTTCTAACTTGTATTTTCTCCTGAGAGCAACATTTTTTTTCAGACTTAGTCTGACCTATTTATTGATTCATTTGAGCATAAAATTATTTTCACACAGTCACAGTAAGAAACATTACACTGCCACCTCTACATTTGAAAAATAAACATAACTTTCCTTAATCACGATAAGTTAAAAGTTTAGTTTGGATTTTTCAAAATAGATTCAGCTATATTATTTATTAATAATGGTTTTTTTTTTTGCCTGAGTATCTTAAAGATAAGCTGGAGTGGAAGAATTAGATATGTTTGTTTTCATATAGGATGCATTTTTTTCAAATAAATCTTTATTTTTGCAGCTAATGTCTTTGTTAAAATACTTCATTTTCAAATGAGATCTGGTTTAATAAACCAAAAAGAATAGCATTTTACAAACACAGCAGCATTTAAAGTGTTTAAAAAAATTTGACTCAATTAGTTAAGCTACAAAATGTGACTTAAATAAAGAACAAGTTGCATAAGAATATTTCCCCTTTTCCCAATAGAAATAATTTCAGATCATATAGAATATTTAGCTTATTTAGTAAAGCTGCTGTTACATTAAGAGTTTATAGTTTCACATTGTTATGTTTGGCACCATTTTGTTCAACTTTCCAAATGCATTAATTTCACAATCAGGAGTTTTAAAGTTTTAAACATATTCTAAAACGTTAAAAACAAGCAAAGCTCCCGTGACTGAACTTCTGCAATTTGAAAAAGATTAAGGAATAAATTAAATTAGAGAAAGTTACCATAAGCATAGTTGAAATATTAAACAAGGCCAATCTGTAGAATAAAAACACATAAAAGCAACCAGAAAGCAACGGTCCGTTTCTCAAACAGCATCTTTCCATTATTAAACATCTTGGTCAGCGTAACGTGCTGCGTCACAGACCCGGTGCAGATTTCCAAAACACATGAATGTGACTCATCGGGCTGTGAGGAGCATCCCTATGATCTATAGATCTGCTCCATATCAGGACTTCCTGAGGAGCTCCTCCTCAGCCGGAGCAAAGAGCAGAACACGCCGGCTAGCAGTGAAGGACGCCTCCGCCGATCAGCACCGGTTCCCCTGCAGCTCATGGATGGCTTTGATAACCTCAGCGCTTCGGAGAAGGCGGAAGCCTCGGAGCTCCAGAAGATGATCGCGATAGAGCAGCAGAAGGCCCAGTTCCAGGCTCAGGTTGGTGGACATGCTGAGGGCCGCGCTGCCCTCTGGGGATAAACCGCTGATTACTGACGGCTTAATGCGGCATCTTCAAGCGTTTTCACTCATTGACAAACCCTATTAATAATGCTTTGATACTGTGTCATAGAATACTGACCCCTGCTGGACATTTAAAGACACTACAGGCAGCTAATGGGACAGAAGAAACTGAATGGATCAGTTAGTACCAGGGGCGGAGTTAGGAAATTAGGCGCCCTAGGCAAAGACAGGAGGGGGGGCTCTGAATGGAGAAGACAACACATAAAACAGACTCATTATAGAGATAGAGAAATGAGAAAAGAGCAGGAGGCGGGGTTACCAATCTACTCGCTCTGGAGAGCAGAGTTCGCTGCTTTTAGATGTTGTCTCCAAAGTCTCCAGTAGCAGAAAAAAGTCTCTAGATTTGGCGCTAGGAGCTTTTTAGAAATCAAAGTGCTAGAGGGGTCTGAAAAGTGGCTAAATATAGCGACTAAAGCGCTAAGTTGGCAACACTGCTCTTTGCATGGTTTGTTTTCAAATGGTTTGCTGCTGTCTGTTTGGACCTTTCTGAACATGTGCAGCAAATGGACTGATCAAATATGGTGGACACTGAAGGGGGGGGGCTGAGACACACTAATATTATCAGTGTTCGGATGGTAAATAACCCCCCCCCCGCTTAGTACAGTCATATCATTTAAGTTATTAGGTTATATTGTATTATTTAATATCTATGTTTAAATTGAAAATATCTTTGATATTTTTAGATGCAGCCAATAAATAATGGAAACATTTATCATGAGCTGAACATTTAGGGGAAAATGTGAATGAGGATGCTGGTGGACAAGGATTTTAAATAATATTTTTTAAACAATAAGTACATTAAAAACAGTAAATAAACTAAAAGTCAATTTGAAATTAACTTTAATTCAGATGAGTTCAGTGATAACAGAGAGGAAAAGGATGACAGCAGGAGAAATTAAAAAAACGTTCCCATTCCTTTTAGGCTCCAACATTCTTGATCATTTCAATGACAAACCGCAAGAGATGAGAACATTTTTTCTAGCAGATGCATCATGTTGACAGATACGATTTTAAACCCAGTTTAGTGAGTCAGTCAGTTAGAAACCACTCATGTATCGGTCACATGACTTTCTGGAATCGACGCGCGCACCGATGCAGCGATTTGCTCTATGGGCTCCATGGATGCACCAATGCTTCGCTGTAGCTGGACTCATCACTAGTACTAAATGAGATTAAATGTCTGTTCGTCACTAAGACCTTGTGGGTGTGCTGATCTCTTCCAGGTGCATAACTTCACCGACGTTTGCTGGGATAAGTGCGTGGACAGCCCGGGCTCCAAGCTGGACTACCGGACAGAGACATGTCTGCAGAACTGTGTGGAGAGGTTCATCGACACCACCCTGAGCATCACCAACCGCTTCACACAGATGGTGCAGAAAGGCACCCACTGACCGTGGACGAGAGGAGGCAGTGGGAGCCTCCGGCTGCTGCAGGAGGCCTGGGATGAAGCCTCCTGTTTCTGGAGGACCAGTGGGATGAAGAACCACCGTCTGTGTTCTGATGGGAGATTTCTGCATCCTGAAACAGGCTCTGAAACCAGAGCTACTAAAACATATTAAAGTCTTTAAATATTGTGTATTTTTTTCCTTTCCCAGGTGAGAGAGAGAGATATAAAGTAAATATCAGGAAAACGTAGCAGTTTATTTGACAGTTGACTCTGACTGCAGCAGCAGAAGGAACGGACACCTTTCAGTCATCCAGCAAACCCTAAACATACATCAAATTATTTCCTTCTATATTTATATACAAATGTAGACAGAAATAATTGCTAATTTTTAAATAAATGTATTGTAAATCAAAATTCAATCATTTAATGGTTTTAATATTCAAATCTTGTGTTGGATAAATAAAATTTGCATCTGCTTATTTCACTGTATTTTCATTTTATGGGTAAACTGAAGACCAAAGCTGTTCCGCCATGGCGTCTAAAAACAACTCCACTAATAATCCTTACCGTTTGGAACATAGATATAGATCACATAAATCTGTTTCACCAGCTGCCATTTTTTTTTTTTTACAGTTTTATTTAGGTCTGCAACTAATGATTATTTTGCTAATTGATTAATCTGTTTATTCTTTTTTCGATTAATAATCAGAAAGCCAAAGGTTCCTTAAAGCTACAGTGTGTAATAATTACAGGGATATGAAGTCAGAAATGGAATATATTATACATAACTATGTTATTTATCATCACCTATGAGCTCAGCCTTTTAACCATAATATTTGCGTTGCCTTAGAATTCGTTATTTATAATTACATAGGAGCGGGTCTCGCAGCCATGGAGGCAGACATCTTTGCGCTACGGCAAGCGCAGAGGCAACAAACTAGCGATTGCGAGATCGCCCATTACGCTTGAAAATAACTACGGCAAGTTGAGAGAGATGAACTGAGACGGTACTGAACAGTAGATGGCAGTATTATGCCTGAGAAGCGTTTAGTCTGCCTGAAACCAAAGAAGAAGAAGAAGCAGGTATACTGCGCCTCAGTAACAAGAAAGGTGAACAAGGCGGCAGGCGTGAGTGACTTTGCAAACTGTTTGGCACTGTGTGGCCAAACATCAGACGAATGGAGGATCATGCCTACTCTGTATCACAACGAAAAGCGGCGGACACCGAACCCCCGTCATCTAAGAAGCGGAAACACGACGAGAATAAACGCAAGAGTGACAAGAAACGACAAAAAACACGGATCAACATTGGCACGGCATTTACACGATGGAAGTCACTGATGGAGAAAAAAGGTTTTCAAAGTGACGCTCAAATCGCCAGTTTTCTGTTGGACAGGTAATTAATCCTACACACACAATTGTCTTTTTATACACGTAATACCCCACCCCCACATCCCGTTTCAACCAAACTATTGTCAAGATGTCTGGTAGCATTACCTAGATAAGGCCACAGCTTCATAAAATTACCACAGCTGAAAGTGGCGTGTGTGAGTGTGAGAGAGACAGATATATGAAGCTGCATATCAGCGAGCTACGGATATATACCTCGGTTACTTCTCTCCGGCTCCTTTGGAGATCTTCAAGCCTTTCCCCCTCTGCTCTAGTCACCCCGCTGGCACCTCTCCCTCGCCTGGCCCTGGCTGCACGCCCAACCTGGCCTCTCTGCCCTCTTCCTCGCCCTCTTCCTCTCCCTCTTCCTCGCCTTGTAATCCCCGTGCCACAAACAAGACTTGGACTCTGTAAACAGGGAATATATATTCTTCCAGCGAACACAATCTCGCTGTTAAACTAATGACTACAATTACTTCGTCTGTTTATATCACCATGCAAAGCAGCTCACCAAAACGTCACAACGACGTAGAAAAAATAACGGGTATATTTATTATCTTAAGTCTACATGAAATCTATACCCTACACAGACTAATGAAATACTATCTGTAAAATTATCTATGTAAACAAACCTCATCACTTGAGAAGGTAGGTGATGCGGACGTCGTGGCAGACATTTTGTCCCGTAACACTCACCGTACTGTTGGGGGCAGAAGCGGTGGGGGGGAGATGTTCATGTTCTTCTTTCTTCTTCTTATGGGGTTTTATGGCGGTTGGCAGACTTGTGAATTGTGCATTACCGCCACCAACTGATATGGAGTAAAGCAAGAAAACAGAAAACGATTCACCCCCCCCCCCCCCCCCAAAAAAAAAAAAAAAAAAAAAAAAAAAAAAAAAAAAAAAAAAAACCTGTGTAACTTAAACCAACATAATACTAAATCACATTTGCCCATATAATTTTTAATTTACTCTAGGTCATCTTAACTCTGCCAGTTTCTGATGGTCCCATCGGTCCTCCCATCATACTTCCAACCATCTCCCAGTTCAAATCTTTAATGTCCAGATATTTTTCTGCAGCCTTCACTATTATTTTGATTTTTTCCGTTTTTTTTTGTTGTCTGTGCAGTACAATTAATTACTTCTACCATGAAAAGAACAAAATTTGTCTTTTTAACAATAAGTGAGTCTTCATCAATTTTTTGATTCTCTAGAGGTTTGGAATTTGCCGTGTGTTGAACTGTAGGTTTGGGTTTTTCTGACTGAGATGGGATCCTTTTTGCAGCTTCAGCGTAGGTTATTCCGAGCTCAAATTTCATTTTTTTAATTTCCTCAGACCTTTTGCTTGCTTCACAGCCGCGATAGGCAGCAGTATGTTCTCCACCACAATTACAGCATTTTATTTTAGCTTCTTTTCCACATTTTCCGTACTCATGTTCTCCTGCACACCTTCCACACCTCTGTTTCCCTTTACAAACTGCTGCAATGTGACCGAATTTTTGGCATTTGAAACATCTCAATGGTGGAGGATTGTAGATTTTGACATTATAGCTTATGTAACCGATGAATACTTTGCTTGGTAATTGCTCTTCCTCAAATTTAATTAGCACTGATAAACTGTCAGATCTTTCTCCGTTTCTTGTTGTTTTTAACCGTTTTACTTCTTTTACTTTTGCACCGCTTATGTTTTCCAGAATCTCTTTTTCAGAAATTTTTAGAGGAACTCCTCCAATGACTCCCCTGCTGATCTTTTTGTTCTCCATTAGGCTGCACTGAACTCTTATCCCGTCAATTTTGTTGATCCGTATTGCTTTGCCTTGCTGGGCGCTGTCTCTGCAGTTAATTAGCAGGTCTCCACTGTACAGAATTCTGGCACCTCTGACTTCTCCGACAAGTTTATTGATGGTTTTTGTTAAGTGAACCGGATTCCAATTTGTAAAAGAGTCTGCCTGATTAACGACTTTGAATATGACTTTGAATTCATTTTGTTGTGCTGTGGAATGTATGGAATGATCATCACTGGATTGTTCTGAACTAGATTCCCCTTGAACTGATCTCTGTTTTTTCCGCTTTTTCTCATTTTTTGATGTTGCTATCTTCCAACCTTCATTGTCACTATTTCCCTCTTCCATCCCACAAGAATCGCTTCCTGTTTCCTCACTACTCACGGCCCAAGACATTTCTCCATAAGCAGCTTCAAAACACGCGCCATGCACCAAACGACCATCCACATGCCAAAGGGGTGTGACTCTTCTTCGACGTCTGGCGCCGAGATGTTCATGTTGCTGCAGTCTGACCGCTAGATGTCGCTGAAAATTACACACTGTAGCTTTAAAGAATATTTTTTACGTAATAGGCTATGTGCACGATGTTGCTACGCAACTTCCGCTAAGTAAAAGTGGTAAGGGCGAATACTTCCAGTTCGGCTGTTCACCCACGGCAAGCAATGGCATTCTACACTCGCTGCCTGCAGGACCTCCCAAGATTAACAATCAGCGACGTCCTCCGGTTTATACGGACTTTATCTTCTGCTCCACGGAGTAAAAAAGAAAAAGGCTTTAAGTTTTACGTTTCAAACTACATTGACAACTTTGAAGGTAAGTAATGCAGCAGTTGGTCACTGCTAAGCTAATGCTAACTGCTAACTACCGAGATCATTTTTTATACTGTACATACATATACTGTCTCGTTTTCACTTATATATGTTTTAACACAACTTCAAAGCCATTTTTCAGATCCTGTTTCAATGTTTTAACCACAGTTTCCAACAAAGACTCGTCAGGGAGAGTGAGCGTCAGGGCGGTCTGTTACAGATCGATGCGCAAAAATGATAAGCCTCATGAACTCAGAGTAGGGTGAAATCACAAAAAATGCTTGTTATATACAAAAAGGACTATATTTTGGGGGTCTTATGTAGCTCGTGTGCAGCAGAAGTTGTAAGTATTTCTAGCTGTTGTGTGTTGAAGTGGTAGTAACAGTGGTTTTTCCCTCTGGGATTAATAAAGTATGTCTGACAGCACACATATAAATTAGCTAACTTTAGCATTAGTTTAGCTACACGAGAGCCCCAGAAGCTAGTTTGTTATGACTATAGATTTTCGTTATATTGTAAGTTCAAATATATATGACTTTGTTAATGCTAAGGCCAGTTCCTAGGCCTGTTCATTCTGCTCTTTTGCTTCTTTTTACTTCATTTAAAGATTGGAACACAGTGCAGTTTCCTATGTGAGTGACGTCTGTTGTTTACGTTGCGTGTGTTTGGTTGGCAATTATATGTTCAGAAATGTGCATCTTAAGGGATAACGTCAGGTAAGGATTACTTTTTGTAAACAAAGTTTCTTCATTGTACTATTACTTATTAAAAATTAGCATTCTGCCTACCAAAGTCACTCGAATAAGCCTGCTCAAAGTTGTGGTTTTAGACGCTTTGTGATGCATTAAAAAAGCTTGAAATTGATTAAAAACATTGATCAGCAAAAGCGCATTGTGGTGCAAATATAGTTCTAACTCTGTAGTCAACTGCCAGCTTTTATTTGCATCTTTGCAAATAGTTATGAAAAACAAATTGGAATGTCATCCCATTCAATTCATCTTTAACAACACACCTGAGCATAAATAAGCCATAGTAAAAAAAAAAAGAAGTCCTGCACTTTCTTCCAGTCTTTTTTCCACTTGTCAGCACTTTCTGCTTGCTAAACAATTATGATATAACCGTTGCATAGTTTGACAGCTTATTTTTTATTTAGATTACATTTGAGGACTGTTCCCCGGTGGAGATCACAGAAGTTGGGTGTTCCTGTGTGGCTGGTACAGTGCTGTGCAACCACGGTGTTGCATTACTTTACCAAACTGCACACTACTGTGCTCTGAATTTGACTTCAGTGCCACCAGTACTAAGCTGTACGGAAACTGAACAGAGCTGGCACAAACCAAGGACCATGGTAAGTGAATCACAATAAAATGCTTTGTGTAACACACCCTACAATTCTATTTAAAACAACATAGTGACCCGTAAATCCATATAGACATGTTATCTGGACAACAGATTCTTGCTGATCTATAAAACGTTGATATTACATCACCACCATGAATACATGAACATTTAAACAAATAAGTCAGTAATGTTTTTTTTTATTCATGCCTAAGTACATGGATAATTAATATATACATTTGATATTCTACATTTACATTGTGTACCTTTCTGTGTGTGTTATCACTGTTATTATTTTTAAGCATTTAATTTAATTATTTTACAGGGTGTGAAACTAGGCCGTGTGCGTGACATGGTTTTTAAGTCTGCAAGACCAAAACAGCAGCGCACGGTCGGAAATGGTGTAAGGTAATTATTTTTTATGTAATTACTTATATTGAAGGTTGAAATAACTGAATGTTTTTTGAATACCTATTTTGAGTGACAGGATTTAATATGATTTTTTTTTTTCTTTTGAAGGAGCAAACGTTACAGGGCAGTGCGAGGTGACACACCAGACCCTGATGTTCTCAGGGTAGCAGAGGTGTACCAGGACTTTCCAGCTGACCTTGCACCTCTCATTACTACGATGGCAATTAGTGCTGATGTGCCTTTAGTGGATTCAGCCTTTGGTAAGGTACAGGAAGGCAGTCCATTAGCTTTCCAGCATCCACTACCGGTCAGCCGGATAATAATTCGTCATGTGGATTCCCCTACACCGCTGTCACTGCCTCTTGACCACTATAATCTTGAGCCCACCTGTGTCCAGTTTGTCTGCAGCCAGCAGCAACAGAACAGCTTCAACTGGAGTGTCTTGCGACAACGCTGGAACAGTCCCGTGAAATTGAAATTGCCACCAGGGAGCAGAACGCAACAGTCCAATGGCATAATATCCGGAGGCCCCGCATTACTTCTTCTCGGTTCCGGGAAGTCTGCCATGTGAGAGGAGCTACGTCTACTTTGAGCTTAGCGCAGCGGATCAAGAAGGGTACAGCAGCCACAGCCGCCATGAAAAGGGGCTTAGCACTTGAACCTTCGGCTATCCAAGAATACTGTAGGATCAAAAACACAAAATTTTGGCCCTGTGGGTTCGTCATTCACCCTGATGCCCCATGGTTGGGCTCTTCTCCTGATGGTGTGGTTTTTGACCCGACAGAGAGGCCAACATTTGGTTTGTTGGAGATAAAATGTCCCAATACAAAAAGTTATGTGGATTGTCGCTATTTAAAAAAGTGCAATGACACAATGAAGCTTGCGTCAAGTCACAGCTACTACTGGCAGGTGCAAGGGCAGCTTCTAATCACAGGCATGGAGTGGTGTGATTTTGTCATATATGCAGAGGATGACATTCTTGTCCAACGCATTTATAGAGATCCAAGTGTATGTGAAACAATTAGGGCAAAGGTTGACCATTTTTTCTTTTATGTCTACAGGTGCTGGTCATAAAATTAGAATATCATGAAAAAGTAGATTGATTTCAGTAATTCCATTTAAAAAGTGAAACTTGTATATTATATTCATACATTACATACAAACTCATATATTTCAGATGTTTATTTTGTTTAATTTTGATGATTACAAATGACAACAAATGAAAATCTCAAATTCATCATATCAGAAAATTAGAATATTGTGAAAAGGTTCAAAATTGATGGCCCCTGGTGCCACACTCTAATCAGCTAATTAACTCAAACCACCTGCAAAAGCCTTTAAATGGTCTTTCAGTCTAGTTCTATAGGCTACACAATCATGGGGAAGACTGCTGACTTGACAGTTGTCCAAAAGACGACCATCGACACCTTGCACAAGGAGGGCAAGACACAAAAGGTCATCGCTAAAGAGGCTGGCTGTTCACAGAGCTCAGTGTCCAAGCACATTAATAGAGAGGCGAAGGGAAGGAAAAGATGTGGTCGAAAAAAGTGTACAAGCAAGAGAGATAACCGCACCCTGGAGAGGATTGTGAAACAAAACCCCTTCAAAAATGTGGGGGAGATTCACAAAGAGTGGACTGCAGCTGGAGTGAGTGCTTCAAGAACCACCACACACAGACGTATGAAAGACATGGGTTTCTGCTGTCGCATTCCTTGTGTCAAGCCACTCTTGAACCACAGACAGCGTCAGAAGCGTCTTGCCTGGGCTAAAGAGAAACAGGACTGGACTGCTGGTGAGTGGTCCAAAGTCATGTTCTCTGATGAAAGTAAATTTTGCATTTCCTTTGGAAATCAAGGTCCCAGAGTTTGGAGGAAAAGAAGAGAGGCACTTCATCCACGTTGCTTGAAGTCCAGTGTAAAGTTTCCACAGTCAGTGATGGTTTGGGGTGCCATGTCATCTGCTGGTGTTGGTCCATTGTGTTTTCTGAGGTCCAGGGTCAACGCAGCCACATACCAGGAAGTTTTAGAGCACTTCATGCTTCCTGCAGCTGACCAACTTTTTGGAGATGCAGATTTCATTTTCCAACAGGACTTGGCACCTGCACACAGTGCCAAAGCTACCAGTACCTGGTTGAAGGACCATGGTATCCCTGTTCTTAATTGGCCAGCAAACTCTCCTGACCTTAACCCCATAGAAAATCTATGGGGTATTGTGAAGAAGAAGATGCAATACACCAGACCCAACAATTCAGAAGAGCTAAAAGCCACTATTAGAGCAACCTGGGCTATCATAACACCTGAGCAGTGCCACAGACTGATCGACTCCATGCCACGCCGCATTGCTGCAGTAATACAGGCCAAAGGAGGCCCAACTAAATACTGAGTGCTGTACATGCTGATACTTTTCATGTTCATACTTTTCAGTTGGCCAACATTTCTATAAATCCTTTGTTTTTATTGGTCTTCAGCAATATTCTAATTTTCTGATATGATGAATTTGAGATTTTCATTTGTTGTCATTTGTAATCATCAAAATTAAACAAAATAAACATCTGAAATATATGAGTTTGTATGTAATGTATGATTATAATATACAAGTTTCACTTTTTAAATGGAATTACTGAAATCAATCTACTTTTTCATGATATTCTAATTTTATGACCAGCACCTGTACTTTTCCAATTTGTAGTTTATAAAATGTCATGGTTGCAGGTCAAACAAATTTTGGCTTGTTTGACCATGTTTTTTGTGTACAGATTAGTAATGATTTAGTTAACCAATTTACTTCTGTTCTGAATGCTTTCCACCATATGCCATGTTGTGGATTAAGTAGCTTTAATAGCACAATAAAAGTTTGTTGTTTGAGTATTACAGTTTGTTTATTGATATAAATTTCCCCCAAAAGTTTTTTAATGGAAACAGTGATTAAGAAATATTTGTTTTATAAAATATTTTATTTTTGGCCTTCACAAACAAGTAGCACACTTTACAAGGCAAAAACAAGTACTTCAAAACGGTATCCTGTGAGGGGAAAAAAAACCATCTCATAAATTGAGGTGACTAGCTCATTCCTGTGAGAAGTTGAGTGTTTCAGAAATAACCACAATTCTCAATTCAGTCACTAGGGGGCAGTGAACATGAGACAGGGGAACGTTCATTATGTTCACATTTTAATAATTTAATAACAACTACATTAGTTTGTGGAAAATCGACTAAGCTAACTAAAAATTGATTAAAATAGTCTAAAAGATTACTAAACCAGATCAAACAACTGTGAAACTATAGATATTTTAGCAAGTTGCCCAAGCCTTCACAAGCGGCCCATTTTGATAATTTACCAGGTAACAAGCCACATTGAACAGTTCATCAATGATCCCACATGCAGCCAGTGGGATAACGCCATCAAAAAATTTGTTCTCCTTCACTCTCCGGATGCAGCGCTCTACATGGATCCTCAAGCGAGCAATGTTTTGGGTCTGAAGGACATCATGTGGGTTCATCTGCCTTTTCCCGGAGCGGAAAGTTGGTCTGTAGACCTTGCAGGGGGCCAAATTGTCAACTAGAAATCCCCTGTCAACCATTATCGCCATGTCAGGCTCTAGTACACTGATGATGCCAGATTGTTTGAAGATCTCGCGATCACTCATTGATCCAGCGTAAAGGGCAGAGACAAATGTGATGGCACCATGAGGTGCTATGCCAATCATGGCCTTCAGTGTGGAGTGGGATTTGTATGTTGAAAACACCTCACTCTGCAACATGAGGTCTGATGGTGTCTGGCAGTAAATTTCAGTGCAATCAAGCACTACTTGGGTGTCTGGAAACAATGCAAACTCCACAGGAAGTCTAGCACGCATCACTTCACGAGGCAACCAGAGGCGTTGGCGTCCAAGCAGATCGTACAAGAAGTTGGCCCATGTGGTAATGATCCTGCTCACTGTCGTTCGGTGAATGCCAAACCTTTCACCGAGATCTCTGTGTGTAGAGCCAACGGCCAGGTACATCAGGAAAAGAAACAGCTCATCTATAGGAGGAAGTTTCTTTGAAAGAAGAATAGACAATTAAATACTATTAATTCTGTGTGTGTGTATTATATATATCATATATACATATATGTACCATATATATATATATATATATATCATATATATATCATATATATATGTCATATATATATATCATATATATATATCTATATATATATATATATCATATATATATATATCTATATATATATATATCATATATATATATATCTATATATATATATATATCATATATATATATATATATATATCATATATATATATATATATATATATATATATCATATATATATATATATATATATATATATATATCTACAGATATCTCTATATGATATAGATATTTATATCTATATCATATAGATATTTATATCTATATCATATAGACATATCTGTATCTATATAAAGATACAGATATCTATAGATATAGCTATATCTATAGATATCATATAGATATATCTTTATCCATAGATAGATATAGATATCTATATCATATAGAGATATCTATCTATATCATATAGAGATATCTATCTATATCATATAGATATATCTTTATCCATAGATAGATATATCTATATGATATAGATATCTATATGATATATATAGATAGATATACAGGTGCTGGTCATAAAATTAGAATATCATGAAAAAGTAGATTGATTTCAGTAATTCCATTTAAAAAGTGAAACTTGTATATTATATTCATACATTACATACAAACTCATATATTTCAGATGTTTATTTTGTTTAATTTTGATGATTACAAATGACAACAAATGAAAATCTCAAATTCATCATATCAGAAAATTAGAATATTGTGAAAAGGTTCAAAATTGATGGCCCCTGGTGCCACACTCTAATCAGCTAATTAACTCAAACCACCTGCAAAAGCCTTTAAATGGTCTTTCAGTCTAGTTCTATAGGCTACACAATCATGGGGAAGACTGCTGACTTGACAGTTGTCCAAAAGACGACCATCGACACCTTGCACAAGGAGGGCAAGACACAAAAGGTCATCGCTAAAGAGGCTGGCTGTTCACAGAGCTCAGTGTCCAAGCACATTAATAGAGAGGCGAAGGGAAGGAAAAGATGTGGTCGAAAAAAGTGTACAAGCAAGAGAGATAACCGCACCCTGGAGAGGATTGTGAAACAAAACCCATTCAAAAATGTGGGGGAGATTCACAAAGAGTGGACTGCAGCTGGAGTGAGTGCTTCAAGAACCACCACACACAGACGTATGAAAGACATGGGTTTCTGCTGTCGCATTCCTTGTGTCAAGCCACTCTTGAACCACAGACAGCGTCAGAAGCGTCTTGCCTGGGCTAAAGAGAAACAGGACTGGACTGCTGGTGAGTGGTCCAAAGTCATGTTCTCTGATGAAAGTAAATTTTGCATTTCCTTTGGAAATCAAGGTCCCAGAGTTTGGAGGAAAAGAAGAGAGGCACTTCATCCACGTTGCTTGAAGTCCAGTGTAAAGTTTCCACAGTCAGTGATGGTTTGGGGTGCCATGTCATCTGCTGGTGTTGGTCCATTGTGTTTTCTGAGGTCCAGGGTCAACGCAGCCACATACCAGGAAGTTTTAGAGCACTTCATGCTTCCTGCAGCTGACCAACTTTTTGGAGATGCAGATTTCATTTTCCAACAGGACTTGGCACCTGCACACAGTGCCAAAGCTACCAGTACCTGGTTGAAGGACCATGGTATCCCTGTTCTTAATTGGCCAGCAAACTCTCCTGACCTTAACCCCATAGAAAATCTATGGGGTATTGTGAAGAAGAAGATGCAATACACCAGACCCAACAATTCAGAAGAGCTAAAAGCCACTATTAGAGCAACCTGGGCTATCATAACACCTGAGCAGTGCCACAGACTGATCGACTCCATGCCACGCCGCATTGCTGCAGTAATACAGGCCAAAGGAGGCCCAACTAAATACTGAGTGCTGTACATGCTCATACTTTTCATGTTCATACTTTTCAGTTGGCCAACATTTCTATAAATCCTTTGTTTTTATTGGTCTTCAGTAATATTCTAATTTTCTGATATGATGAATTTGAGATTTTCATTTGTTGTCATTTGTAATCATCAAAATTAAACAAAATAAACATCTGAAATATATTAGTTTGTATGTAATGTATGAATATAATATACAAGTTTCACTTTTTAAATGGAATTACTGAAATCAATCTACTTTTTCATGATATTCTAATTTTATGACCAGCACCTGTATATTTATGACTGTCGTAGATTCATACCGTGGATGTGGGAAATCTTTCTGAGCTAGCTGTTGAGGACTTGGTGTTGGTGACACGGATCATCTTTGTCATCACAGCAGGCTCCACCAGCTTCCAAAAATACTGGAAATGTCGGTATGAGGCAAACCTGTTGATATGGTTTTAGAAAAAAATATATTTGACAAATACTGCATAATTGTTGTCATTATCTCCAACTGTAAACCAAATGTTAAACTGAATAACGCAGAGATCTGTTCTAAAGCAATGTGTATCATTTTAATCCCAATTTAATATCACTGCCCCATTTAATTTTAACAAGTTGTAATGTAAACAATGGAGTGTTAACGAGAAGAAAACTCAGTGATGCGCGTCCGTTTTATAATATTTCTGTATTTACTGCACTGGTAAAGCAATAAAGAAATTATAGTTTATACAGTGCATGTAGCATAAAGAGGAACAACAATGATAACACATACTAACCTGGTATAATGCCGAATGTCGTCGTCTGAGCATTTAAAACGTTCCAGACAGAAACGAGTCCGCAGTTGCAGCCGCTGAACTTCATGCTGCAACATCTGAACTTGTTTTTGCAGGGCCTCGTTTTGCATCACTAGCTCGTTGATCCTAACTCCACTTGCAGGTGAAACACAGTAATCGTGTTCAGGAGCCACAAACACCATCTCCGAACAGTCCACAGTCGGCGCTGCAGCAGCGGGGCTTGTCGCCTCTTCCTCCCTGGGTCTACGTTCCCACACACTGGGTCTTGGCACGGGCAAAGAGTAGTTATTCCATTCAAATAAAACGGGAATAGCACCCTTTTTTAAGCACCTCTTTCCCCTTGGTGTCTCTAACAGATCATCAGGCAGGAAATGTCGACTGCATACCCGTGTCTCTCTACGGGGACTGAAATCTTGCCTCCGAATTTTGGTTAGCCACTGCTGGCGCACCACAATATCCACAGGGAAGCGATGAAAACTTACTTTACTGTTGTACCGTGATGAACATGTACATCTAGGCACACAGCAGTGCAGTGACGATCCACTAACCAACTGGTAACAGGGTTTCTTCCTCTGGACTCCAGACAAACTCATTTCTCTTCTCTCCTGACAACAACAATGCTATTTCCACCGGAAGTGAATGCCATCACCACGCTAACCCGGAAGTTAGCGAGCGCCATATTGTGCACATAGCCTATTAAACCAGATGAAACTAAAAGTTCTGGATAGAGCAGATTTACAGACAGAAAAGTTTTTTTTTTTTTTAAATCTTACATGCGAAACTTTTTTTTTTGTAACAATTTGCTATAATTCCTGCTCTAAGTGGATCGCTCTATCAGCTAAAATCAAGTCTCTATACTCCAGTTAGCGATTAAGTGATAACTAAATGATTTGAGGATTATTTAAATAATCGATTCATCTGTTTGTTTCAGCCTTAGTTTTTATTTAATCTGTTGCATTGCCGTGGTTCTATTAGTAAAGATCATCACGTACAGGATCCTTTAAGGCCGAAGCTGATGCTGAATATTTTGACATTAGCGAAACCTTCAGGTGTTTTGGGGCCAATTTGGAGCCGATGTTCCTCCAGTCACATGATGAAAATCACACCATGATAGCAAATGTTAACCTGACTCCGCCAGATGGATTTGCTCCGCATATCCATCTGGAAACCTTCCGTTGAAGTAATTTTGGGAAGGGGCGAAAATACTGGTTAGCTGATTGGCCTATGTTGGTGATAGACGGGCCAAATAAACCAATCAGACCAACGAAGCATATGACGTACTAACAGAGCGACGACCAAGAGGAGCCAATTGATAGATCAAACTCTTGCCGAAACCAGTCGGGAGAAGAGCAAAAACATCTTTTCCTCTGAGAAAAGCCTCCAGAGCAGTGTTTTGCTCTTCTTTCAGTGAAGAAATACTCTGTAATTCCCATAAAACTTGCTCGATAGCCACGCTAACGCTAGTTTCATCGGCTGAAGCCGCCATGTTCTTTAGGCTTCTCGTTGCGTCACACCTCAACCCGCCTCAAAGCCAACACGGATTGGACGTTCGTTTGGTGAACGGCTCCAAATTTGCTTCAGCGGAGAGTCTCCAGACTGATCTGCGAGTGAAACCTTGAAAGCTCACGAGATCAGGATGGTCTCACGAGGCTAAGCAAATGTTGCACAAGTGTTAATTTCATCCATCCATTTTACATCACGTTTTATCCCAAGCTGGGGTCATGAGGGGTGCTGGTGTCTATCTCCAGCTGGCGAGGGGCGGGGTCCAACCTGGACAGGTTGCCATCCATCGCAGGGCAACACAGAGACAAACAACAATTCACACCTAAGGAGGATTTAGAGAAGCCAATTAACCTAACAGTCATGTTTTTGGACTGTGGGAGGAAGCTGGAGTACCTGGAGAGAACCAACGCATGAACAGTTAGAACATGCAACTCCATGCAGAAAGATCCCAGGCCGGGAATCGAACCCGAAACCTTCTTGCTGCAAGGCACCAGTGCTAGAGGTCAGAGGTCAAGAATTAAGGGATTGCGGACCCAATCTGATTCAAAACATTTATAAATTACCACATGTTGTCTGACAATGATATCTAAATTCCCTTGCTCTGTTTCTCCTGTTAATACGGTAAAGCCCTGGGGAGCGTCCGGCTCCAAGCTGCACGTGATCCAAATGAGCCAATGAGCTGTCAGTCTGGGTTGCTGCTGCTGCTGCTTTTAGACACAGCAGGCAAACCTGTGGCAAGCCGGGCGATGGGAAAGACTTTTAACACCACTTTATTTACACAATTCAAACAAATAATCAATTGACGTAAAACAAGTGTCAGTTAAACATCATTAAATGAGGAGCTCGTTAAAATGCAGTTCTCCATCATCTGACACAAAACATAAAATGTTTTTAAAACCCCACAATTGAATAAAATGTTCTGTGGAAGTGAAACTCCAGCCTGATCCTGGCTTTAGCGTTGCACCTCCCCAAAGCCACGGCGTCAAGGTGAGGTCTGTCCTGCAGTCTGTCTCTACGGGACAAATAGCTTCACAGATTAAAAAGTTTAAAAGTCTGGCCTTTGCCTTGTTGCTTTTGTTTTGACAGACTCCTCCAATAAAGAGAGAAGTTGTAAAAACGGTGCCAAAAAGACTAAAAAAATTTGTTAAAAGGCTAAAAATGGTCTTTAGTCTGACGCAGTCCATAAAAACATGAAAAACATTTTCAGACTGCAGAAGGGAGCTCTTTTAAAACACCCCGATTGACGACGGATGAAAACGAGTTTGTGTCGCCGTGTAAAATCCTCCACTGGAGATCGCCAGTTCTTTTTTTAATCATAGGTTTATATAAAGTCCTCCACTGGGGTGCTCTGCCAGCAATGTTATCCGTCCATATGCAGACTGCACGGTTCTCCAGGTGTCTTTGAGTCATTATTTTTGAGCAGGCTCGATAAACAGTTTTTATCTGTTAGATGAGAGAAGAGAAGACCATGAGAAAAAGAGAGCAGAGAAAGTGTGGACTGCTGGAAGAACTGCGGTGAACTGGTGAAAGAAAAGTGAAATGGCGTGCTCAAAGATGACCCTGCACATTTAGAGGATGTTTGGCTCAACCTGCTGCTGTGAAGCAGGATTCTCCACCATGAACAGAATCAACAATAAATCTGGATCCAGGCTCAAAATGAGCACCTTGATATGTGCTTGAGAATGGCTTAGTCTCCGGTTAAACCCAGGTTTAAAGCCTTGCAGGGCAGCCTAAAGCCCACTGCCAACATTAAGACAGGAAAAAGAAAGAAAATAACAAACCATCAGTTCAGGTATTTGAGAAAATGTCTGCATCAGGAAATTATCTATAAACCAAACTGAACAATTGTTGTTCTCTACTTAAAAAAAAAAAAAAACACTTTAGATTTAAAAATGGAAAATTTTTCTTTTTTTCTTTTTAATTCAGTGTATAATAACATGGATGCATAAACACCTCATTTTCATTCAAATTCTGTTTAAAGTAACAGATTATAATTAAAAATGTCTCTGGACTTTTACTGGTTGATGATTTTATTTTTAATTGGTTACACCTGCTCTTCTTCATCTAATAATCCTTTGAGATTAAAAACGTGTTGTTTAAGTTTCTCTGTGGTCTCCACATGATCTTAAGTCAAACAGGACTGTGATATCTTCATACCAACCTCATCTGGAGTTTTCCCAGAATCCCAGACTGGTTTTCTCTTCCATGATCCCAGAATCACCAACTGGGAACTTCCTGTTGATCTTAGAATCTCAGACCAAACCAGGAGTCTTCAGTACAAACCGTTAAAAGTAGTTTCTTCAGCCTGGATGTGATTGGAGGTGAACCTGGCAGACCTCAGCGACCCACATGGTTCCGCTCCTGGACTCCTTCTTTTCTCTGTATTTTCATCAGTTCCTCGTTTATTTCAGCATCGATCAGCTTATTGAATGGTTGATGTTTGCACTGTCATCACTCTCCTTTTCTTCTCTTGTGTAAGAAGAATGGAGAGGATTTATTTCATGGAAAAAAAGCCACAGTTCCTCATTTTGCAGGATGTTGACTGGTTTGGTAGAACGCTGATTAAACTATTGGTCATGTTTAGAAAAGAATGACTCTGAATCAGGGCAACCACCGAGACAGACTTATAGTTTAAGCTTATTGAACAAGAGCAGAGGCGGTGCTGGCAGGCTGGTCGTGAATGAAAGATTGGAGTAAGCTGAACTCACGGAGGTTGAGGCTTGGCTGGATCCAGGCAGGTTGGTGTTTTCGGGGTCGGGGAGGATGGTGATAATCCGGAGGTTCACTCCTTTGTGCAGATGGTGTTGAAGGGTGGACAGGCTGGCGAGCTCAGGTAAGATTACAAACGCAGACAAAGCGCTTCTTTCATACCTGGGAGGTCTATGGTTCTAGGCAGGGGCAGGTTTAGGAAATTTGGGGCCCTAGGCAAAGACAGGCAGGGGGCCCTCTGAATGGAGAACACATAGAACAGCCCCATTCTCCAGATAGAGAAATGTTAATAGAATAGACATCCATTATCTGTTCTAGGTTGTGTCCCTCTCTTCTTGTCCCTTTTCTTCTTGTTTTCCTCTCTATGTTTTGTACTCAGCTGACTTTTCATGCTGTCTCTAAAGGAATGAAAGATTTTTTCCAAGCACTAAGCTCACTTAGCTGATTGCTCCTTCCTGTGTTTCCAAAAAGGCCAAAGTAAATAACCCAGTCCTTCTTTTCACTGTAGACAAGGCATGATCTGCTTATCTGTTCTCCATTTTTCATTTGGATGCAATAATAGCTGCATGAATCATGACAGCAGACAAGATAGAGGAGAGCAGGAGGCGGGGTTACCAATCTACTCGCTCTGGAGAGCAGAGTTCGCTGCTTTTAGATGTTGTCTCCAAAGTCTCCAGTAGCAGAAAAAAGTCTCTAGATTTGGCGCTAGGAGCTTTTTAGAAATCAAAGTGCTAGAGGGGTCTGAAAAGTGGCTAAATATAGCGACTAAAGCGCTAAGTTGGCAACGCTGCTCTTTGCATGGTTTGTTTTCAAATGCTTTGCTGCTGTCTGTTTGGACCTTTCTGAACATGTGCAGCAAATGGACTGATCCAATATGGTGGACACTGAAGGGGGGGGGGGGGGGGGGCTGAGACACACTTAATATTATCTGATCTGTTTTAATAAAACGCATAATTAATGTGCACAAATAAGAAATAGTTGTATTAAACATACATGTAGACAGAGTTTTATGCGGCCCCCAGGAACTTGGGGCCCTAGGCAACTTCCTGGTATTGCCTAATGGGAAATCTCTTCTAGGAAGGAAACAGACACATGGAATCGCCCTCCTCCTGGTTTCCACTCCTTAAGAAAAGCTCTAATTAGCGGTGATGGGGGGCCTCTGCCCGTCACACCCTGCAGGGAACAGAGAGAGAGAAAACTGGGTGCTGCTCCCAGACC